TCCGTCGCCGCATTCCAATGTGATTTCCCTCAGCCCAGCAGGCCTCCTCGAACAAGACAGTCGTAGCTTTGCGCTTCTTGGATCTGATATTGTCGCATCCCCACGTTCCGCAGAGAGCCGTGTATTGGCGGTCAAAGACGAAAATGTCCAGCCGAGAGACCCTCGGCCTAGCAAAAAGACATGGACCCTTCGTACTGTGCGGTCAACATGGCCGCCGAGTGGACAGCAATGTGGATGGATGTGGATTTGGCAACCTGACGGCGAGTGGCCTATCCTCCGCCCAACCATCCAGGGCCATCAATGTGGCAACGATCCGCGATGGCTGCCTCCAGATTGGCCAGCCTTGATTAAATGGATCTTCCAAGACGTCCCAAAATGGTCTCTGAGTGTGCCGTGCGGCCAAAATCTGACGGGCGACACGGGCTGACAGGACAAGCGGTGCCACGCTGTGGCGCTGCCTCCTTCCGGGCTGGGGGGCATCCTTCCACCTGAAGCCGGCGTGCATTCATCGGTCCCGATGATAAGGAAGTCGCAAATTATCCGCATCGCCGTTCTACTGTGCTTTCCTCGCATCAGGGCTTCTGTCGTAATCTAGTCGCATTTCTGCGAATTATGAACGGCAGCGGCTGAATCGCAAGACTCAACAGCAGTTACAGTTCGGAGCTTGGGCCTTATGTCCCCTAATCTCGCTGACAATGCGACGCAGTTTGCTCATCTTCGGTCGCAGATTTGCTGATCCCAATCTACCATCCGGGGTAAGCTTTAACGCGCATGTTCGCAGAAGCCATTTAAATTTTGGTGGAGGACCGCCGCGTGTTCGCCAACGCGTGCGACGTAATTCGTTCTCGAGTCCTGACTCGAAACTTGCGGCACAGATGTCATCCAAAACCCAGTTCCTTGGTACATTTGTGTCGGTTTGAACCGAGCACAGAGTCAAGCTTAGCTGCCTCCAATAGTTCAGACGGCTATGGCTACGCTACGCTATACAGCGTTGCGCTGACCCAGTTGGAAGGACACACGCGATGAATCCCCCTTAGTTGGAGCTCGACCAATGCAAGGGACTCAAAGAGGGGAAAAAAGCGTCGGCCGGTTGATTTTGAGGGGTTCAGCGGAGGGGACCAGCAGAATAAGGACCCATCCGCGGCACGTCCTAGCACCAGTCGCCCGCGAGAGCAGTCTCCAGGCGAATTCCGAAACGGACAGCATACCATCCGGCGCCAAGATCGGCAAACCAAGAAGTTGGACGGAGCGACGGCGACGCCAAGGGCTCAACGCTCCTAAAAAGACCGCTGGGATGTCGTCAAAGCATGCTGGAGAGTGACGCAGTTGCTGCCAGTTTAAGCTGTTGGCCTGCTAGCTTTCTCGCTATTTTTGCCCATGTACAGACCAGACCAGACAAGACAAGACAAGACCAGAGCCTGCCTGCCAGCTGAAGCTTCTTGTTTCCTCCCCGTCTGGGCTTGAAGCCATCATGGATGTCCGAGCGAAACATGGGACACATGCTGATGGAGGCTGAAGTTAGCATCTGAGGAATACAACCCTCCAAGCCGGCCTGTCCCATCAAAGTTGGCTCCAGTATGACGCAATTGAGGGGACGCTGGACAGTTCTGCACGGTCACACCATCCACACCGTGAGCCTTGGCGCCCAGGACCAGGATAGATCTCCCGCACCGATGGGAGACGCAGAGAAATGATGAGGCGGGACGGTCAAGATTTTTCGCAGCGTCAGGTGAGTAACTGACGGGGGGTCCCCGTTCCCATCCGTCACAGCTGCCGGGGGGTGATCCCAATTGGCGCGAAACTGAACGGAGCGTTCAGGAGGGTGACGGAGCAATCATTTTCATTTGGCCGCTGGACATTGGTTATTTCGTCTCTGGAGGACCGCCAGTTCGTGACATCGCGCATTCAGGGACCAGAACCATCAGATCTTGTCTGAGGAATGAATGCGCACGTCTTCCTCGTCCGCGCGCCATTTCGATGGCGACCGTGTTGAACCGAACTGTGTGCAGCGCCGTCGGGTATTTTCCGGCGGCCTCATGTGTAGCGCCTCTTTTTTTTCCCTTTCCCCTTTGCGCGCGTCCCATTTGTTGGAGACGGAACATGGGAAGGATCCCGTAAAATGAGCAGGGGATCGACATTGGCGTTTCCGAAAACAACCCTCGCCAAAAAAGCCCGCCGGATCCGAACTGGACCCCCGTCCGAGAACGCTGCAGACCGCTGCAGTTCAAGTTCAACCGCGCTTCGCGGCAGCGTCTAGACCCAAGGGTCTCGACCTCGATATCGAACTTCACGACACCGTTGGGGATGCGGCGCCAAACGCTCACTGCTGGCGGGAACGGTCGCCGGACAGATCAGTGCTAGGAAACCCCAATTCAGGTGGGGTCAGATTGAGACCCTTCACATGGCATCAGGTCCGCAGTTCTTCGAGATCCAGTGGGTCTCATCGAGATTGCCTTGCGCTCAATACTCAGACCTCAGCCGCCGGGATTTTCTCATCGTAGACGAGCGCGATATCTCGCATGGAATGACGCTTCACAATGCAGACCAAGAGTAGTATGGCACACAAGACAACAGTCGACAATGGCACATGCTTGACGGCACTTGCCGCCTATGGAGAACAACCTCGTGATATCCTTAACCTGTGAAGCGACTCAGATATATCTGCCACCCCAATATCCCCCGCCAACCCGAGTCTTTCGCGCATTGTAGTAATCTTCGTGGCTTGCAAAACGTCTCAGTCAAGGCTGCAATCCAGCTGGACCCAAGGGCTCGGAACTTGCTCACGGATCAGGCCACATTGCCGGGCCCTATTGTATCTATGCTAGGGAGACTGGGGAAAGCGTTGCGCAGTGGGCAGAAGGCTCGCGTGCCGCCTTGGTCCAACATTCTGCGCGAGAGGGGGAGCGTTCAGACCCCGAGACATGCTTTTCCTGAATAGTATAATAGGCCTTCTTGACGTTGTTGGATAACAAACTCTGTCACTTGGTCTTGTCTTGGACAGAGTGGTCCACCACATATGAGTCGAACGCCCGGCTCCGCGTTGCTTATTGTCTCTCCTCCCTTCCCCTCGTCCTGCCCCGTGTTTTCCGCCTGCCTCAAGTGAATGGGCGAGGGCGTGTGTTTTGCGTGTTTTGAACCCCAAGAATCGCTCGAATCTTATCTCCCTTTCGATCAAAAGTCTTGGCCATGGAACGCAGTCTGGGGTTGGATTGCTCCGGTGCTGGTCTTCCCAAACCATGAAATCGGGCTGGAGAGGGTTCATGTTTGGTAAAATATTTGTCCTGATCAGTAATCTTGGTTCTGTCTGCTTCCGATGTTATCGATACACTTTTTCAGTTGGCTTTTACCCATTCCTCGCGTGCGTAGCTGATAGTATAGTCCTTCAGCTTTGCGCAACTCTCCTCACATGTGTGGTAAGGGCATTAAGAACGTTCTTTCAACGTTGCTCAGTCTTGTTCAGAACCTTTGCTTAGCATTGCATGCTTCCATGTGCTCATCTAGAAGTTGGCGGCTCCATGTTCCTTGTACTCAGACCTGCCCACTTCCTTCCTTGCTGCTATCATCATTGTTGCCAACATCCTCAGCTGGGGGCGCGTATTGGCGAAGCGGGTTCTCGCTGGGAACCTTGCTGTATTTCTCCACTGTGCGAAGCTCGGCCATGAACTTCGACACAGACGGGTTTGGTTTACTGCCGAAGGTCAACCCAAACATGGTTGTATTGTTGGCGAAGGTGAAGAGCGTGCCGTGCCTGTCAAAAATTCATCTGGCGTAGTCCATCATGAGCCCGCTCACCTCTCTCGGGGCGTTGAAGGTACAAACTGCGTCGATGTGCCAGACAGCGGGGCAAGTCCGGTTGAACTGCAACTCGCCCTTGCAGTAAATTCTCATTGCACTCCGGAAGAGCTCGGGCCAGTCCTTCTTGCTTGCCATGATGGCCAACTTGAGTATTTTGAGTTGATAAAACTCAGGCCGGAACGGTTTGCGTGGACTGGAACCCGTCCCGCCAAGATAGGCGTTCCATGAGAAGACATCAGGAACGAATAACTTGGGAGCTTCGAGTTTGTCTCCGACCGTGGTAACGCTTACGTTTCTCTCAGTGGTCATGGGTCCTCGTGATGGCTGAGTTGGGGTATCTTTGTTGGTGGCATCTGCACCCCCCAAAGCAGGTTCCTGCTGTTGAGAGAACTTCAGAGAAGGCAATTTACCTTCATAGCACCAAAATATCATCAAGCTGATGATGTCGGAGTCCTCGTCTGGGAGATCGATCTCTGTGACACCGTTGGCCACCGTGCCTAGCTGTCTGCGGAACTCGCTGCATCCCATGAGCAAGTGTGGATGGACAAAGAAGGTCTCTCTGTCGGGTCCCGCGCGGATAGCGACGATGCTCTTGCTCAATCTGTACGTAGAAAATGTCAGGCAGCTCTCAAGACAGGCAGCGAAGTCAAGTCTCACCTGCCGATTCCCACGCAGGGTTCACGCAGTCCTCTGGGCGTCGTGGATGGAACGAATGGACTGGCATCAGGACCACTGGAGTCTTCTTGCTTTTGACGACCGGCTTGGCTTTCTTGGGAGCGGGGGATTCGGTGACGTTGAACGGACCGAATTTGCTGCTGCCGAAGATACCGACGTTGCCAATGTTTTTGCCATCATCGGTATTGTCATCGCCGTCCGGCGCAGGTCGCTTTTCAGGCCTCATCTTGGCGACGATTTTGGTGATGAGTTGAAGAAAAGGTGAGGAGAAGAGGAGAAGAAGTGGGTTGGGTATGGCAGGGTTTCATGAAAGGTGGTGAGCGTTCATCGGGAAGGAGCATGGGTGGGAAGACAGGAAGGAGCCTCAAAGCAAACGGCCACCTTCCTCGGCAATGGAAAACAGAAGCCGCCTGCCTAAGACCGCTATACTCAGACGGCTGGACCCAAACGAGAACTTCTTCCTTCAAACCTCCGCCTGATTCTTCACCCACCTACAAGGATAATGCAGCGCCGCAACGTCAAGAGTCATCATGGCTTCTCCTGAAGTCTCGCTCAAGCGCAAAGCATCAGATCTTGACCAGTCTGTTGAACAAATCAAGGTAGATCGAAACAAGGTAGACTCGTCGACGAAGACCATGGGTCCTTTTCTCAAAGAGACCCGGTGTGCTTGTTCCCCATCACCAAATATTTTCTTTCAGCGGAACTGACATAACACCAAGGATGTTTTCCAAAGTCATGACTACCTACGCCGGCCCCAACAAGACCAAATCCACCGTCCACAAGCAGTTGTTGCTCCCTGACAATCTGGCCAGATACGAGAAGATCCATCCACCTGAGGATGTCGAAGTCGTTGAGCACGTACGGGAACGACTGGGTACCTCTGCGTTTCTGGCATATCCAAGGAGGGAATAGTCTTGAGCCGTCAGCTTCCCCTTGCGCGGCACCTCGAGATTGAACGGGAGATGACTTCGCCATTGTCCTTCTGACGTCTTTTCATTGCCGCCTCTTTTATTGCTCCTCGTCTATCCGGTTATTTCCACTTTGATGGCCACTTGGACCTATTCGGAAAGCAGAATGCCTGTATAGCACTACTTGAACGGCTTGTTTGTTATAGTAGGCTCTTCCTGGAAGAAAATTTGCAGTAGTATTTTCAAAATCTCGCGAGGCTATTAGACTACATACTTGACCATCACCACCCTGCTGGTCTGGCAATGACTATTTATACTTTCGACCCCTGGCTCCGCTTCTACGTTTGCCCTTCAAAGTGAAGCTCGTGACGATTCCAAGTCAACTATCAGGGGTTGGTTTCTGGCATCATACTGGTTATCCATGATAGCAGCGTTGACAAGCAGCGTCTCGCCCTCGCTGCTAACAACCAGAGCACCGCTTTCTCCTTTGGCAGCGTTCGAAAGATCAAATGGTGGTTTGGCCTCGGTGGCCCAATTCACAGCTGTCTCTTTGCTCCTCCATCTCACAGCCTTCGCCCCGTAACCCTCGTGTACGTGTCCGAAGCAATGAAGGCGCGGTCGAGTGCGTCGAATGGCAGTCCATAGCTTGGAGCAACCGATGAACTTGCCTTCCTGGATCTGATCGAGAAAACAGTCGTCGTGTGGCACCCGAGGCGGACCATGTGTGACAACGACATCGACGCCCTTTGGGATTGGGTTGACAGCATTGGGGCCGAAGCGATCCTCCTGTGAGCCATACGCGAAAGCCCAGTCGCAGAAATATGGTATGTATGGCGACGCGTACATTGTGAAAGATCGTCCATCTCGCAACGTAAAGGTGCAATTTCCTTCGTCGAGCAGCCGAATGCCGGTCGTCTTGAAATCGAACATGGCTCGGGCTTTGTTATGGTCGTCGGGGTCTGCGTCCTCTTCCTGGCAGTGGCGCGTCCACCAGTGTTGATCGAGAGTCAAGTCGTGGTTTCCGGGGATGACGAGCTTGAGCTCGGCGTTGCATGCTGAAAGTCGCTCGACAGTGGGTTTATACTCTGAAAGCCCGCCTCTCATGGTTAGATCCCCGCAATGGAGAGTGACATCTGCTTTTGGAAGCGTCGCTGGATCTGGGAAACCTGTATGGTGAGTGTCGGAAAGAACGAGGAAGCGAATGGTGGAGGGAGACATATTGAAGGATTTGTAGCTGGAATCGGATGCTGCTTGTGTGCCACGAATCGAATGCTGGATGATGAGCCTTGAAGATGAGTGTCTCGAGTTGCAGATCAAACAATTTGAAATACAAAGAAGTTGTATCTGAGAAAAAAAGCCGTTGCGAAAGAACGCGGAACCTAAGACCCTTCTCTTCTTGCCTCTTATAAGTTGTGGCTTGCATCAAGTTAAGAAGAAAACCGCAAGGGTTGGAGGGTCGCCTACATTGCGTCACATTTCTTGTCAATTTGGTCCGAACTAAGCGTGCGGTAGGTTGAGATGAATAATATTCAAATAAACCCAAATCATTCGTCTCGAATCTGGCTTGTCGCAATCGCATTCATCTGATGAAGTTGCCAGTGACATTTCGGTGAGATACACTGACCGAGGCACACCGAGAGAGGGTTAGCGCACGGCCCACCCCGCATCGGAGCAGTTGACTCACCTTAAATTTCCAACACCCAAGCTGTGGGATTGCTTTGACTCACTCGCGACAGAGCAGATTCCCCCCCTCCCTCTCTCCCTGAAAAGCGCCGAACCCCCCGCGATCCACTTCAACAGATCATGTCGCAGCAAAAGGGAAAAGCATCCGGCGCCGGCAAGGGCAAGAAGTCCGGCAAGGCCGCCGAGGGCAAGCGGGAGGACGTCTTGCAGGCCGTGGTAAGTTCGCAGCCCGCAAGCGTCATATGGTGGGGCAGAAGCCCGGGTGAGTCTTCAGGGTCGCTAACCACGCCGCGCGCCATTGCAGGTGATCGCCGACTCGTTCCAGGACCGGTTTGCTCCTTTTTCGGTCGAGAAGCCAAGAGTAAGTCGTCTGTACGATTGTCGAGCCCATGCGACGCCGGCTAACCCCTCGCCCGCGGGGTAGTGTCTCCTCCCTCTCGCGAACACGCCCCTCATCGAGTACACCCTGGAGTTCCTCGCCATGAACGGCGTCCAGGAGGTCTACATCTACTGCGGCTCCCACTCTGAGCAGATTGAGAACTACATCAACACCTCCCGCTGGTCGCCACTGTCGATCCGCACACCCTTCACCAGCCTGCAGTTCATCCGCGTCTCCGATGCCCGATCCGTGGGCGACTTCCTCCGCGACCTCGATGGCCGAGGCATTATGGATGGCGACTTCATCTTGGTACACGGCGATGTCGTCTCGAACATCTCTCTCGACGCTGCTCTCAAGTCACACAAGGCGCGCAAGGAGGTCTCTGCGACGAACATCATGACCGTGGTGCTCAGGTCAGGCGGCGCCGAGGAGCACAGGACAAAGCCGAACGCGGTAAACCCCGTCTTCGTGATGGACTCCAAGACGAAACGATGCCTACACTACGACGAGACGAACCCCCTCCAGAGCGACCACTACATGTCTCTGGACCCTGCAGTTGTCGACGAGCTTTCCACCGATTTCGAGATCCGCGGGGACCTGATCGATGCCGGAATCGACATCTGCACCCCCGAAGTGCTGGCTTTATGGTCTGAGAGTTTCGACTACGAGCTTCCCAGGCGAAACTTCCTGCACGGCGTGCTCAAGGACTGGGAGCTGAACGGAAAGGCCATCTACGCTGAGGTGCTGGAGGACGGATACGCCGCGCGCGCAAACAATCTGCAAATGTACGAGTCGATCAGCAGAGACGTCCTCGGCCGTTGGACGTTTCCCTTTGTTCCCGATTGCAATGTGATCCCTGGACAGACGTATAAGATGACGGCTGGCGCGGTCTCAATCGAGGACGGTACAGTCTTGGCGCCGGACAGCTCACTCGCCAGATCCATCCTTGGCCAGGGCACGAGTGTAGGCGCGGGGAGCAGAGTGACCGACAGCATTATTGGCAGGCGGTGCAGGATCGGAAAGAACGTCCGCATCGAGAACAGCTTTATCTGGGACGACGCCAGTATCGAGGATGGTGCGGTAGTGACGAGATCCATTCTCGCCGACTCCAGCGTTATAGGCAAGGGTGCTTCAGTCGACGCCGGCTGTCTCATCTCATACGGCGTTACAATTAGCGAAAACACCAAAATCCCCGAGAACGCCGTCCTCGCGGTCACCACATACAACGGCTCTCCGGTCGACCCAGACACATCGCTCGTCGGCGCTTCCGGCAAGGGTGCGCGCTACGTTGACCCCGAAGCCGAAGATGCAGACGATGAGGACCCCTCAATCCTCCAACGCTCCCTCATCTACAACCTCGCCCACCTCAACCTCTCCACCTCCTCCGTCTCCACCCTCTCCTCCGAAATCGAAGAATCCGACGACGAGGGCTTCACCCCCTTCGCCGACCGCGCCCGCACCGACTCCTTCGTCTCAGACGACTCCGCAGGCAAGTCCGGCTTCCACCACGACGCAATCCACGGCCTCCTCGACGCCCTCCGCGCCGACTCGGGCGACTTCGACTCCGCCAAGCTCGAGTTCATGGGTCTCCGCCTCGCCAACGACGCCTCGGACGTCTCCATGCGCAAAGCCGTCGCCGTCGCCTTCGGCCGCCGCGCCGCCGAGCTCCTCGAGCCCGAACACGGCGGCCTCGAGCCCGCCAAGGCCGCCGACAAGGCGTTCGCCTCCAAGAGCGGCGCCGCCAAGTTCGTCATGGAGGTCGGCGTCGCCGGCGACGAGGGCGACAACGAGAAGGAGCAGGTCGAGTTCGTCCTCGCGCTGCAACGCGCGCTCCTCGGCGCGCGCAATCTCGAGCAGACGCGCGCCGGCGTCCTGCTCGCCGCCACGCTCCAGAAGCTGTACAGCCTGGACGTGCTGGAGGAGGAGGGCATCATGGCGTGGTGGGAGGACGCGAGGGCGGAGGAGGGCGAGGGCATGGGCACGCTCAAGGAGAAGTGCAAGGCGCTGATTGAGTGGTTCGAGGATGCCGAGGAGGACTCTGACGAGGACGACGAGTAGGTCTTGTGTCCCCCCAAGAGGAAGAGGAGAGGCAGTCGCGCATCGGCTTCAAGCGCGAACGGGGCCTGAACAGCAGCCTGAAAAGCAGCCGTCATAGACATGTCGAGCGCGTTGTCCAGCTGCCGATAGAGCAGATCCAAAATAGCAAAATAGAGTAAAAGTTCAAGGTATCGTGAGGAAGTCAAATGTCACGGTGAACAGCACAGGTCGGTTGATGGTCTCAGAATGACTTGCTCCATTGCAATTAAAGGTATCATCTCAAAGCATAGCCGCCAGACGCCAAGCTAGTCCTGCATAAACATGCAAATTCCCACATAACAATGTCCTTTTCGTCTCCCCGTTTTTGTGTTTGTCCGACCAAAAAAAAAAGGTGTTGGCCTCGGCGGCCGCAACCCATCATATACGACAGTTGTTTGAATCGATCCATATGTCCGAAAGCCGTCCCGACCGACGAAACTCCAGTGATGCCCGCTTCATGCGAAAGCGACAGAGCGATCTACCTCCTCTTCTTCTAGTAGTAGTTCTGTAAGTCGCTCCCGCCGCCACCGCCGTAATTAGGGCCACCGCCGCCTCCCATGGGACGTCCCTGTGGTCCCGTTGGGGCTGGCCCAGTTGGCGCATTTGGTGGAGGTCCCGTGGACCATGCAGCGTTGTAGGGAGCCTGGTACTGCGGCTGTTGGCCGTAGAAACCACCCTGTTGCTGTGCCGGTGCCGCAGGAAGTGAGGGGTAGTTGGAGTCATCGTAGTCGACCGGCTGGCTGTAGCCGCCTTGCTGATTACGATCGACGTCGTCCAGAGAGCGGTAGCCATGCATTCCGCGTCCACGTCCGCCCTTAGCGCGACCTCTGCCACCACCCCTACCACCACGGAAGCCGCCGCCACTGCCCCGG